TGGGGGGGGGGGGTCAATAGCAAAATGTTATAAACTGTGAGAACTGTCTCTATAACTGTGAAGTAAATTTCTGTTGTTTGTAAGTCACCTAGTCTATAGTATTTTTGTTTTAGCAGCCCAAACAGACCTAGACAACAGCCATAGAGGCACTAATGATGGCAGAGGGGTCAATAATTGGACTTAGATTTCCATTAGAGAGACTCACTCAGGAGAGGGGCCACCTGCCTGAAGGTGATGGAAGGAAGCTTACAGTTCCAGGGCTGGTTATACAGTTATGCGTGGTGGGAGTAGTGTTCAAGGAACTGAGAAGAGGGAGCGTTTAGAATGACAGACAGGCCATATTGGGGTTTAGAACAAGTTACCCCAAGATGTGCCTCAGTGGCCTGTGGATTATTTTGAGCTAAAGTCAACTTTAGCAGCAGGACTTGGGAAAAACTTCTGCCCTCCCTTACCTACCTAGATGAACTTGAATTATGGGCCCTGGCCATAGGAAGAGATGATCAGAGATAACTTCTTTGGACCTATCTACAGGGCAGGGTAAACTTCTCTTTACTGATCATTTGCTCTCCTTATCATCCTGCAATAACCCTTTGAAGCCCCCAAAGCACCTCACCCCTCCCTAGCTCAGAATGTCCTATGTACCCATTTCCCTTTTTGTCTCTGAACCTCTAGTGCATGTGGGGTCACTGACTCTTTCATGTAGGTAGGATTCCCAAACAGATGTATTAAATTTATTTTCTCTTGCTAATCTGGCTCATGTCTGTTTATTAGACCAGCTGAAAAAACCTTAACGGGAGAAGAAAATTTTTTCCTCCCCCACAACCACACAAACAGTGGGCATCATGGCTGACACTCATTAAGAGGTTAAGTCCCAGGCTCTCTGCTAGGCACTTTACCTATGCTACCTCACCGAACAGGACAGAGAGCTTTTTGGTGATAATAGGATCCCACTTAACAGGACAAAGGTAGAACTCTAGGACTAAGGAGAATTTGCACAAACCAAGAATAGCTGCAAGCAAGAAGGGCAAGATATGTCTGGTCAATACGTAAGGCAGGGACTTAGGGTCTATGGTTAAGGCAGAGACCTTGATTCTGAAATAAGAGTATGAGGCGGGAACCTGGTGTCAGGGGCGCATAGAAGAGTAGCTATGTAATCTGGGACACGAAATTGAGGGGAATCTTGTACCACTGATCATGCTGGATTCTCTGAGGACGAAGGGAACCACAGGTCCTTAAATACACTGGAATGAGGACAGGATCCTCCTAGACTCCGAGACCACCACACCCAGAAGCTGCTCTGCTGGATGGAACCAAACAGGTTACATCTGAGCAACTCCAGCTGTCTGTCTGCTCATGGTCTTGGAGGCCTCCCTCAAGAAGTCTCATAGGAAACCAGTTACACAGTCACATATTGTACAACTAGTATTAAACAGGCCTCTTTCTGACTGTCAGTTTCAAGACACTGAGTCTGAGAAAATGGGTCCCTGACGGGCCATTTCTCACCTGTGGCACTGGCCATGTGTCTGCACCCTGAGTGTCGCTGCAGCTTCAGGGACAGGAGTTCTAGATAAAGAATACATGGTCTGTAAGAACCTGGTCTATGTAAGCTTCTACTGATGTTGCTCTCAGCATCTGGGAAGCTTAATAAAATTGCTTTCTAACAACCAGCTGAACCAAGCAGACTAAGCTTCACACGTGCTTTGGACACTTTGATAGCACTTTAGCATCATGCTAAACACAACACGAAAAGCTGAGTTCTGGTGAATGATAATACAGTGTATTCTTTTTTAACTAACTCACTTTCTGCCACACAAAATAATAGAAAATAATGACACCTAGTGTCCAAAAATGTTATTCTTCTTAGAAAACATTCTTCACAGAAAGCTGTGATTGGGGAGGCTATGAACACAGAACCACCTGGCAATCAGCTCACGCACCTTTGCAGAAAGCGAGTTAAAAAAGACACACGTAATTTTTCCTTTGTCCGCTAACAACAGAGGGGATTTTCTCGTAGCCTTCAACCTCTCAAGACTGCAATGAAGTCTCAGGTTCCTTTAGGTAGGTCAGGGCACACACAGACTGTTACCACCTCACAGAGGGAGCAGCAGGGGGACCCCGACTCAAACAGAACCACAGCACCAGAATCAAACCCAAACAGAAGAGACCCGGCCTCAACTGGGCAGATGATTTTTTCTCTCTCAAGCTCTGCTGATATATTCAATAAATTCTTAGATATTTGGTAAAATAAGAGTCACCAATAACTTCTTTTAAAACAACTTTTGAAAATGACTCCGTTTACAATATCCTCTTTACTGTGAGGCTTGTGAGCAAGGCCCCGCGCAGCCCCTTCTGGAGTTTGGACTCACCTCTGCCATTCTTTTCTTCAGGTTCTCCTTCCCCATGTACGAAGCCTGAAGGGAGATGACATTCTCCTCTTTTTGAATCAATGTTGTCAAGATGCTTTTAAAATTCTGGTATTGTTTTAGGAGCTCCAAAACTCTTTCACACTGGTCAAGGCTATCAAAAAGGAAAAATGTAAAACAGCTAAATGTCTGAAAATAACAACCATTCTTTCTCTTTTTAACTATTCTACAATAATGGCCAATAGATTATAGAAGGATTTTTCTTCTTGGTATGGTTTTATAATAGTTTTACCAATTTAACCTAAAAATGATGGCACATATATTTATCTGGCAAGTGGGTGGTAAAAATAACCACTGGACTAGTATCTTCACCTGATCAATATTAAAAAGTCACCAGATGTACACTCTAGAAAGAAATATATGATTCATAACCTTGAAGAATCAGCATCTCAACTTCACCCTTAATCAAAAATCGTCTTGGAAAACAGTGCCTCCCTAGAACGATTCTTAGAGATTATTTCAGTATTGATTCAACAAGTCACAAGTTGTTTATGTCTACTTAAGCCACTCTAGATTTAGCCCATTTAAAAAAAGTATAGCACAGATAATGTGGCAGTTAGGATGCCTGGTGTCTAGTTATGGCCAGGCACTGACAGTCACGTGACTCTAGATGAATTACTTTATAACTCATCAGAACCTCAGTTCCTTCCTCTGTGAAATCGAAGGGTAGACTCGATCAAACACCACAGACAGGCTTTATCTTGACTATACACTCAGGTTCTGGAGGGAACGTGTACTCGGGGGGAGTCCTGTGGTGAAAGGACTGCTGACAGCAAAGTTAAGGGAAATCACCAGAGAGCTGGGGCACCCAGGGACTAACAACAGCAATAGTTTTCTACTGATCCGCCACCTGGCCTCACGGGGAAAGAGGGAAAGTGCCCTGAGTCTCAGAGGAAGGTGCCAACAGGAGTCTCCAAACCACAGTGAAAAGGGAGGGGGGGATGGTTAAGATCACCTTGACCTCTCTCTCCTCTTGTCTTCTAATCTACTAGTACCTCCCACTTCTTAGCCCAGCTGGACCCTTGGCCTGGGTGGTTCAGGGACAGGGATCGCTCCTCCCGACCACTCCCACCCCCAGACAGAGGCAGGGCTAGAAGGCATGGATGGAGAACGTTCAGCAGAATCACCGANGCTCCTCCCGACCACTCCCACCCCCAGACAGAGAGGCAGGGCTAGAAGGCATGGATGGAGAACGTTCAGCAGAATCACCGACCGGGACTGACAGGTAATGGCTGTCACACAGTTAAGCCCTGCCTTGGCTCTAGAGGAAAGAAGGCGGCAACTGACAGGCGACATCCCCCATTCAAGCAGGGTGGTGTGGTAGGATGATGCCACCAACCCCAAAGATGTCCGTGTCCGAATCCCTGGATCCTGCGGATCCTGCGAATGTGTTACCTGACATGGCAAAAGGGACTTTGCAGATGTGATTAAGGGTCCTAACATGGACGTTATCCTGAATTATACAAGTGGGCAAAACATAATCAAAAGGGTCCTTCCTGGAGGGAGACAGGAGGGTCAGAGTCAGAGAAGATGTGACAAGAGAAGCAGAGGTGAGCGAGGGAGAGAGGGAGGGAGAAAGAGACAGGCAGACAGACAGAGATTAGAAGATGCCAAGCTACTGGCTGTAAGGACGGAAGAGACACAAGCCAAGGACTGTAGGAGGCGGCCTCCAAAACACAAAAAAGGCAAAGCAAGGGACTCACTCCTGGGGTCTCCAGAAAGAAACCAAGCCTGACTTGGGGATCTCTGACCTCCAGACTGTAATATAAGCGTGTGATGTTTTTAAGCCACTAAAATGCGTGGTAACTGGTCACACTAGCAATAGAAAACCAATGCGGGGGTGGGGGCGGAGGGGGGGATTAATATAGTGTGTTCACTGTCCCTCTAAACAGCCTCGTGAAGTCATTCAAGCCCCGCTCCGTGACTGCAGGTCCGCGCAGACGGGCTCAGCGAGGCTCGGGGCGAAGGCCCGCCCGCCCCCGTCAGAGCCG